ATATATTAATAATCTGAAGAGACCGGGCAATAGAGAATAAATTAACGCCTATCTTCCTTTCTCGTCTACAGTTTCGTTATTGAATTTATAAACTTTTCAATTCTTCCATCCCGATTTCCTTCTTTTTTTCTTTTTCTTTGCCGCGGCAAAAGAAAACGAGAGACCGCAACAAATTGATAATCAGAAAAGATTGGACGGCAGAACACGCGCTAGCCCGAGGGGATGAAAAAGGAATTACCCGTCGCTGTTAATTCGATTCGAAGTTAATAATCTGGTCAAATCCGGCGAACAGAATGTGACGCGTGTTGCACGGACTGGTCCAACGGCGATCATCAATCTTTCCGCGCCGTTTTCTACGCGACCCCGATGAAATATTATCAGCACGACGGAGGCTCGACGTGAATTTGCACGCCTCCTCGTTTTCGTTCTTCCCCCTTTTCCTCGTTCCACGCGTCCACGTGGAAATAGCCACACCATCGGCTTGAACGATGCGAGCTGTCGCCTCCGCTTTTCGTTCCGACGGGTACACGCTCTGAGTACACTCGAAACTGTCAACGCGTATCCATCCGGTGGCTGGTTAACTTGCTTGTACAAGCCATAAAAAATTACGAGATTCGTTGCCGAGCGTGTTTTCGCTCGCGTCCCTGGATCGTGACCCACATTCGAACCGCAAGCTGCCCGATCGCACCGATGTTCACCGTTTTCCTCGCACAGAAATAAATCGAGACTTCCAAGATGCTTGGAACTATGAATTGTTTGATTTTACAAGAAGGAGAAGCTTATACTTGGCAGCGACTTTCAAATTTTATAATATTATATTACACCATATATATTTATCATAAACCTATAAATCATTTTCACAGAAACTTTCTCAATTATTTTCCAGATAATACATGTTAAGACACTTGCATAATAAATGCATAATAATTTGACAATCATACTAATAAACTGACAAAATCAAATTATATTGTTACCGTACTAAAAGTTTTATTCTAAAATATTCCGTCAAAAAATCGCAACTGACTGCGTTATAATTTAAAAAATCCATCCATAGAACCACATTCATTTCATTGGTAAAAGCGTTATCGATATGCAAAAGAATTTATTCAGTAATTTATTTATTATTTAATAAAGAATTTTTATGTATTCGTTGAAAATTTTAAAGTGCAAAAATGCACCAATATGCAAAAATATATAAAATACTCAATGATACTCTCTACTTAGGTTCAAGTAGGCAAAAAATTTTCTACCTACGTTCCATTTCTATAATTAACTTCGTAAAAACATAAAATTACCTCAATTTCCTAACAATCTACAAAATTTCATTAACAATATTAATTCTAGCGTACGCAATATCGTCGATGAGAATCGAATACAATCATTATACATCAAGCAAACTTAGTTTTCAACTTTTCCTAAGATCACCGAATCAAAGGGAGTTTCGAAGGGGAACGGAAAGTGGAAAGCTGATCAACGAACAGTAACGCCAGTATAACTTTGATCTGGATGATCTCTGATCCAGACGGATCAGTTTCTCGTGAATGTCGACGGGAGACAGAAGACTCGAGCGAAGAAAATAATTATCGTCATTATTACGGGGAGGATAACGATGCATCCGACTCTGTGATACGTAGCTTCAAGGATATCGAGTTCTCTACGCAGGACTTCGATTTTCGAGCACTCGACCAGCCACCTTAATTGAAGGTTTACGCAAGTATGATCCTGACGGAGATGAGTGCGCATTTAAAAGGCCGTCGAGATAATCATTGTTCGAGGAATATCGGCAACCACGCTTGGAATTTGTTGAATGACCTTCCGCGAGAAAGGGGAAGAAGTTTGAGGAGAACCTTAGAATTTACAGGTGGAATGTGGTAGCTTCGATTTTCTTGCGAGTATCGAGTAAAAAGAGATTAAGGGCGAAGTTATTTTATTGAGAGAGAAGCCGAATGGACGCTGGAGGAAGAAATGTAATAGACGTTTCCAAACAAAATCTTGATTATTCCTTGTACCATTAGAATCTCTAGTAATTTTTAATATTCCATACGTGTTTTTAGTAAAACTGAGGAATCAGAATACATAACAATAATATATTTTTTAAATTTTTATATTATTAACAGTGCAACTACCAAAGTGAGAAAAATGACAAACTAATAATTAGAAATTTTATTAGAAATTTTGTAAACGTAAAACGGTGTATTTTTGGAAATTTAAATGATCTTTCATAAAATATATAAATAAAAGTTTCTGTACTCAATTGTATTATAAAGCTTTTTTGTCTCCTTTATTTTAAATAAGCGATTTACTTTTAGTTTACTTTTATTCAATGTTTTAGTTCTAGTGTAAATTTAATAACATATTTATTATAATTTTTAAATCTTTGAATACAGAGTTCTTTCTTTCTAAATATTCTTTTCACAATTCTTTTCATACATTTTACTCTGTATTATTCTATATGTGCATTTAAATATTCAAACGAAGCATTCTCTCGATTATTCATCTCACTGTCCAAATCTTTTGATTTAAAAACATGTAAAACATTGAAAATTCTGACTGGAACTAATTCAATAGCCACAAATAAAAGTAAGATAAAAAAGTAATAAAGGAAAATAAAGAAGTTACATTAGTAAAAAAAGAAAATTTAAAAATTGTGGGCATAGATGAGTAGGTTTTTATCGATTGAATTGCTTTCATCGTTTGGGTTCTGCTCTTCACCAGCAGATAGCACAACAGTACAGCACGAATTTTAATCTGAACTTAAATTATTACAAATTGAATTTATAATTTCTAATATAAATATATATATATATTTAAAAATCTTCTTCTAAGATTGTAACAGCTTTAAGTGAAATTAAGTTCCACTTGGTATTTATATTTCATCTGAAAATGTATATAAGAAGAACCTATCCTAAACCACACACGAGGTGTATGAATAGACCAAGCCATCTTACGAGATTTCGTGGCCTGTGACCTGAAATACCGACATACTAAAAATCAGTGGTTTTTGACGCACTCTACACTTAAACAACGGTGAATTGGGGAACTACGTCACGTAAAACGATTGAATTTGATCAAGTAGTGAATGCGACAGAAATAAGATTTTTGTAATCCATTCCATGTAATCCATTGTGCTATCAAATTTTCAATATAGAAATGTGAAGCTAGTAACTAACTGAGATCATTCTATTATATATCAAAAAGAGCTCTATCCATGATGTACGGTATTACGATGACTTCTTTTCATATAGTAAATTAAAATTCCAAAGTTACTAATAAAATATTAAAGAATTTATCAGCAAAAATAAATTTTATAATATGCGTAGAATTAAAGAGAAGAAGGAACAACAACTCTCTTATTTACAGATATAATCATTGTAGAAGAAATAATTAAACCAAAACTTTCTAAAATATTTTTGTACGAAAAATATACAAATTCGTATGAAATATTTTTCATATGCCTACAAATTAGTTATCCAAAATATATATTACTTATTTTTAATTCATCTAATGAATATGTACACACAATGGATTTACACAAACACCTAGATCGCAGCCAATCAACTCGTTTGTAACGAGCATTCTGTTTTGTATACTTCACAGAATTTTCTATATTTAGTGTATTGTATGTACAATCTTTTTCAGTTAATGTCAAAACCATTAGTGAAATAAATTTAACAAGATATATTTAATTACCACTAGATATGATCCAGGCTTCATTCCAATTAAATTCCAGAATCCATGTTATTCTATCGTCCATCTATCCGTTTGGAAGTAGACAAATCTGAAACAGACTCATTTGTTGGATTAGTAGTTTAAAAAACTTAACACAAAAGTTCCACACCACTAAAACAGTCCCGACATTAGAAAAAAAAAGCAAATGAATAGCCAGAAGGGCTAGACTACTGAAAAGGAAATTGCGATACAATAGCCAGAAGGGCTATTAAAAAGTATTGCTCAACAACACAATAACCAGAAGGGCTACTGTACAATTATCTACGTTAAAAATCCGAGCAACAATCCGTAGCTTGTTTCGCAACACTAATTCACTAGCACTAATTGTGAAAATAGCAAATTTTCAAAATCCAACGCGAAGAGTGCTTCGTCATGTTCAAAACTCCCGAAAATAGGTACGCGACGTTATTAATCTAATCTGCACTCGTGTTTAAAAATGCGCAACACTAATTGCGACGCGTCCAGTGCAACCATGATGGAGGTTGCTGATGAATAACTATTTCTGTACAATTCTTGTAACTGCATCAGGTGATCCAGGAGCAGGAAACAGCCTTCCACGAATTCAGTGGAAGAATCTGGGCATTTTGTAAACGCAACGCTACATCACAAAACGCGATCATTCATTGTCGCAATGCTAACAGTAAAAATAAAACTGGAAATCGCGATGAAATAATGTCGCAACACTAGTTCCAAAGCTAAACTCAATAAAAATTATCATTAACAATACAAAACTGTACGAATGAAAAGCTACTTCAAATACTCTAACACTGTAAAATTAATTAAAAGCAATAACTCTATAATTTAATTCAAAACAATAAAAAACAAGATGAATTTTATTCTGTACAACTCTAAGACAACTTTAAAAATTCACAATCGCGAAATCATAATTCGCAACTCTAAAACAAACACGATTATCATTTTCTCGCAACTCTAACTTAAACCGTAATCAATTTTTCGCAACACTAACAACAAGAAAAAACGCGGTTTGCCCAAAACAAAGATGAACGATGACGGAGAAGAAAAAAAAAAAAAAATACAACTACAAATACTAAAGGAGCATAGTGACAAAGTAGTAACGAGAATGACTTCCCATGCTCTGAAATCATTTAAATTATCCAGAGGATGAGATGCCATTTGTTGTGACCCTCTTCGTGGCAGTTTGCCGGGCCTCTTCTTTCTTCGAGCGCAATGCTCGCTGAAACTTACATTTAGCTCGAGTCTTCCTAATCGCAAACCAAAAAATAACTTATAAAGATGAAATGAANACCAGTCACCCGTGCCGATTCGGACCTTTCGTCCTACGACATGATTGAGTGACCGGAGGAACATAAATGCATGCGACTCACACGACGGATGTGAAGAACGTTATCATCGATGCTGCACTGGAGCAAAAAAAAGTTATCGTGAAGACTCTCATCAAGTAGATACCCATCGTGAAAGGGAAAAATTTTCTGAAAAGCGGCAAAAATTTTGTTTCTAAAGACACAGTGTTATTTGTGAAAATTTAAATTTTAATAATGATAAAAATTCGGGCTAATAATTTGAAGTGTTTTTATTTTATAATTATAATGTTTAAAAGCAAAGCAAAATCTTAAGTCAGATATAATGAAAGATTCTTACATTCTTGGCTTTAAAGCCACCGTTGGATTTTCCCCTCAAAATACAAAAAATTTGTTGCTGATGTGAAACGTCTGTAACAAAACATTATATATTATACTTTGTTGTGAAATTTGAAAAATTGAGCAAATTGAAATACAGTATATAGAACTACTTACGATCCTGATTTCCTGGAGAGACCTTATCCTCTTGAGCACTGGCTCTAATATACCGAAAACGAACGTTGAATAAGAAAAGATTATCAACGCGCGTGTTTAAGTAACAATCGGTTGACTCACTGACTCTAACTTCGCGAATTATAATTATAATTTAAATGAATTAATAATCTAATTTAATGAGACCCACTTTGTTCAAAAACATATTAAAATACTGCGCAACAAAAACTGACTCTACCAACCGCATTGCGCGCGGTCACAAACATTTCCTGAAAATAATAAATATGTATGAAAATAATGAATCTTGAATATGTATTGCGTGTGGGCGTTCGGAAAAAGTAAATATATTGTAACAAGGTATAGTACAATAAAGTACGAAAACAATAAAGCATGAATTTAATAATCTAATGTATATCCATTTAAAAATATATATACTATTCAGGTGCTACGATATCTATATTCGAAATAAAACATTAATTAATCTAATCTATTCCATTTTCATCCTTGTATCACAAATAATTATAAAAATACAATTATAAAAATAATTATAAATCTAATGCGACGTAATACGTGTTGTTGTTACGAAATTCGACAGCCGAATGACTTTCCGCGACACGTTTCGTCCTTCAGTTGAGAAAGCAGTAGGGGATGGGGTGATTCTGTCCGAACAGGCACAATAGTTAAGACAGACATAAACATTGTGTTCGTGTTGTTTTATACATCGAAATTCGAACTCCAAGGCCTTCTACGTTTTACTTTATTTGAAAACTGAACAATTACATTATATTACGCAGTAAAATTATTATTAAAACTATTAAATACGTACATACCTAACAAATTATTGTTAGTATAATTATTAAGAATTACACAGTATGAAATTAAAGTACCAAAAAATAATAAAAGTATATGTGTAAAAACTTGTAATAAAATATGTATATATTTATATGTACATATGTATATATATATAAAACAATGACAATTGCCAACTACAAGGTAACAATATTTGCAGTGGTTAGTATTGAATTAAATTTTGGTATAAATTATAAATAACTTTAAACATACTATGTTCTGACTGAATATTTATATGCAATTATTTCTTTAATCGTTGAAAATTATATGTAATAAGTATTTGGTTAAATCTTACCTTCAGTTGAAGCTAAATAGGCAATTTTATCTTAAAAATTCACAACACAAACACTAATCTAACAGCTATTGATATATATTTTTACCTCAGAATTTTTGATGATACTTCTTTCTGGATGATTCTTTTGGATAATACTTTCTTCTTTACAGATGAGTCGTGCTCCTTTCCATCATGCTTTCCGCTCGATCATGAGAAATATTGATTATTTCGATAATCGTAGGAAGTATATTGCATGTTTCACCGTTGGGGCGCTGTAATAGCGTGTTTCGCGCAAAATGATAATTTGGAATAAAAAATGAAACACGCTGGTCTAAATCAAATACACAATATTTACAAATTACAAATGTTGTTAACATACCGAAATTGCACTCTAGTCATCGAGATGTTCTTCCAAAGTGATTTCGGCAATCAGTCGACAATCTGTAACAATGAAAACTAGAAATTTGAGATTAGACCAAACAATATTGAAATAATGCAATAAATAAGCACAAATTATACCTCAGAAATATATGATATATTTTTTTATCTTTTAACATATGATATATTACATGACAAATCCAACAATTGCGTAGTTGAACGAAGAGATCCGAATAAACAAATTTCATAAAATTATAGAATATCGTTATGACAGCATTCAAAAATATATTGAACAACAATATATCAGTTAAACGAACCTGAGATAGTACATTGCAGAGGGTGATAGAATGATAATGAAAATGTTACGCACTAACAAAATTCACAACTTTCAAACAGATCGACACGTCTCGACGCCATGACACCCGAAACTGAAATAGTGGCATCTCCCGCCAAATTCTCTGCTAGTCGCTTTCCTATTGGCTAATGCGACGTACATGCCCATTGGCTTAAAGCGGTGCGCCTTTGAAATATTCTACGCGCGTCATTTAAAACTCAATCAAGGTACTTTGAATTTATGAAGAATTTTTGATGCAATTTTATTTTTTATATATGTATATATATAGATATAATAAGATAGCCATGTTACAAAGATACAATATTTTTAGGTAGAATGTACTTTTTACCTGAAAACTTTTGGGTGATACTAAACTATTCTTCTGTATAATAATTTCTTCTTTACAAGATGGGTCATGCTCCATTCCGCCATGCTTCCCGCTCGATCGTGAGAAACATTGATTATTTCGATAATCGTAGAAAGTTTATTGCATGTATCACCGTTGGGGCGCTGTAATAGCGCGTTTCGCGCGAAATGACAATTTGGAATAAAAAATGAAACACGTTGGTCTAAATCAAATACACAATATTTATAATTTACAAATGTTGTTAACATACCAAAATTGCACTCTAGTCATCGAGATGTTCTTCCAAAGTGATTTCGACAATCAGTCGACAATCTATAACAATGAAAACTAGAAATTTGAGATTAGACCAAACAATATTGAAATAATGCAATAAATAAGCACAAATTCTACCTCAGAAACATATGATATATTTTTTTATTTTTTAACATATGATATATTACATGACAAATCCAGCAATTGCGTAGTTGAACGAAGAGATCCGAATAAACAAATTTCATAAAATTATAGTATATCGTTATGACAGCATTCAAAAATATATTGAACAACAATATATCAGTTAAACGAACCTGAGATAGTACATTGCAGAGGGTGATAGAATGATAATGAAAATGTTACGCACTAACAAAATTCACAACTTTCAAACAGATCGACACGTCTCGACGCCATGACACCCGAAACTGAAATAGTGGCATCTCCCGCCAAATTCTCTTCTAGTCGCTTTCCTATTGGCTAATGCGACGTGCATGCCCATTGGCTTAAAGCGGTGCGGCGTTAAAATATTTTACGCGCGTCATTCAAAACTCAATCAAGGTACTTTGAATTTTCAAGCAAAACAATTATACAGAATTTATGAAGAATTTTTGATGCAATTTTATTTTTTATATATGTGTATATATATATATATATATATATATATATAAAGAAGATAGCCATGTTATAAGGATACAATATTTTTGGTTAGAATGAACTTTTTACCTGAAAACTTTTGGGCGATACTTCTTTCTGAAAGATTCTTCTATATAATACTTTCTTCTTTACAGATGGGTCCTGCTTCATTTCGCCATGCTTCCCGCTCGATCGTGAGAGACATTGATTATTTCAATAATCGTAGGAAGTTTATTGCATGTATTACCGTTGAGGCGCTATAATAGCGCGTTTCGCGCGAAATGACAATTTGGAATAAAAAATGAAACACGCTGGTCTAAATCAAATACACAATATTTATAAATTACAAATGTTGTTAACATACCGAAATTGCACTCTAGTCATCGAGATGTTCTTCCAAAGTGATTTCGGCAATCAGTCGACAATCTGTAACAATGAAAATTAGAAACTTGAGATTAGACTTAACAGTATTGAAATAATGCAATAAATAAGCATAAATTCTATCTCAGAAACATATGATAAAATTTATTATCTTTTGACATATGATATATTACATGATAAATCCAACAATTGTGTAGTTGAACAAAGAGAACCGAACGAAGTTCATAAAATTATACAATATCGTTATGACAGCATCCAAAAATGTATTAAACGACAATATATTAGTTAAACGAACCTGATGGTACACTGTAGAAGATGGTAGAATGATAATGGAAATGTTACGCATAACGAAATTCACAACTGTCAAACAATTCGACACATCTTGACGCCATGATACTTGACCTCGGAATCGTGGCATCTCCCGCCAAATTTTCTTCTAGTCACTTTCCTATTGGCTAACGCGACGTGCATACCCATTGGCTTAGAGCGGCGCGCCATTAAAATATTTTACGCGCGTCATTCAAAACTCAATCAATGTACTTTGAAGTTTCAAGCAAAATAATTATGGAGAATTTATGAAGAATTAGTGAATTTTCTACCAATAAAGATACATGCATGTACACGATCAAGTACGATAATTTTGAAATGAATATTGATGAAGTACCATCACTTTCAATGCAATAAATATTCCTCGAAGCAGATGTGGCAATACTCTACCTTTTTTTTTATTTTAATTTTCATCACTAGTAATGCTGCAGTGCAAAACTTGTCTGAATCGATACAACAGGATGTGACACAAAAATGGTAAGAGGATCGTGAGACTCTCCAATCGTGAGCCGAAAAAATAGATTGTATGCTAGGTCTATTTATATACCTCGTGTGTGACAGTGCATACAGTCATTGACTAATAGCTAATACCTCGTCTGTGATCTGTGTCCGTCTTTAACCCTCTTACCATTTTCGTGTCACAACCTACCATATCAATCTAGGCAGGTTTTGCCCTACAGCGCTACTGGTAATCGGAATTAAAATCAGAAAATATGAATAATGTTGTTACATCTACACCAAATATTTTTTATTGAATTGATATTGAACGCTTTCTCATATGCATGCCTATTCTTACGAGATCAACTTAATTTTTGACTGGAATATAATTATTTTCTAAATTAACATTATATGTCACAGGCTTACAAATTAGCATTTAGTATATGTCAAGAATTAGAAGTTAAAATCTGACTATGCATATGTAATGTCAGTAAACAAAAAGTAAAAAATAAATCGCAACATTAAAATTATCAACACGTTTATTTGCCGAAAATGTGGCGCACTCTATGTAGTCTTTTCGCGAGCGAAATGAACTTCCTGTGATTCATATACATATAAACTACGAGCAGGATCCATATGTAAATGAATATTGCGTTAAACAAATATTTTTAATATACGCTAAAAAAACGAGCATCGATTCTAAACGAATATACACACAAGAAGACCAAAACCAAATATACTTATATTCTCGAATAAAACTATAACCATATGAAGTTCTCATCTCGTCGAACACAAAATGATTCAGTTCTGAAAATTATATTACCTTCGGTGATCCCTCAAAAAACCTCATGACTCATAGCACATCGTGGCGTAGTTTACCGGAACATCCGGCTTATATCGTAATTTCACCAGCCACGTCTGTTTTACGAGGCGACGACTGACAAAAAACACGCACGTATCCGTTTCCTCCTCGCGTATTCTTCGCGAATTACCGCTCGAAGATAAACAGGACTCACCAGTCATTTTTCTCGAACGTTATTGCAACGATCCAGAGGTTTTTGAAAAAAAGAAACAAGGTACAATCGATGAAGAACATGATTTTATTGTTATTTGAATTGTTTAGAAGCCACCTTGATCACTTTATAAATTGAAAAGCAAAAAGAGATGATAAAAGAGGAATAAGAATTGTCACATAATAGTTTTACTGAGGAACAAGTTAATATTATTTTAGTCTACTTTAATCTTTACTTTACTTCCAGTTAAGATTTAGAAATAAAAGATTTAGAAATAACTTAAAAACATCTAGAAAAATTGTAGAAGATTTAGAATTGAAATTAATATTATTTTAATCAATTAGTAAAGTTTTCTCAATGAAGTTATTGGATGAAATTATGAAGAAACTATTAATTCTTTAATTTCGGCGATTGAATATGTTGTAGGAATTATTGAAAATCAATATATTAAACAATTTTATAATGACTCACACTAAATATTGAAACTGTTATAATTTTGTAAAGAAAAAAAATCGCACAATACTAAAATTTGGGCTCATTTTAAAGCTCGAAGCCTCTACTTTCAAAATGCATTGTTCATTTTATTCTACTATGTTTCTGCATTTTGTAAACACTCATTTCTTCTCGAAAATGCCATTAAACTTTCATAATAATATTGAAAAACATTTTTTCCCTAACTTGGATTTGAAATTCCTCTACAATGGATTAGAAAGGGAAAATTAAAGCCTTCCCTTTATAACAAATCCTCGAAATTTATTGTACAATTTTTTTCGCCAATTTATTGTACAGTTTGTTTCTTCAATACCGGGTATTAATTGCGTGCTTGTATATTTTATAAAATTGAAAAATTAGCAAAAAATGAAATTGATCAATTTGCCTCAGGGTAGTTCATTTTTTTAGATTAATTGAGCTATACTACGTTAGTTCGTGAGAGATTGTAAGTCGCCCACGTGCTGCTGTTTGAATGACTGAAAATCACTGGATGCAAGTAATTTTCTTTTGTAACCACTGCTTCTTAGTTAGTTCATTTCCTTGATTCTATAGGGTCTCGAGATACTGGTAATTGCTAGAAATCAATTATTGCCAAGAAAACCACTTGATA